TCTGAAAACTTTGTATGAGGCAGGGAAAAGTATATTGAAATGTCTTTCATGATCGTGTGGTTCTTAGAAGTTTTATTTTGTATTGTTTTATTGTTCTCACATAGAGTAGAAGGGGTTGAGAAGCATCCTGTAGCACAGGTGAGAAACTATAGAAGAATGATGGCCCTGAATCCAGGTCTTGCTGTCATGGGGGCAGCCAAAGGTTGATGGTATGACAGCTCAATGTGTTCTTGAGTTTCTTCAAGGTGACAAGAATCAGAACTGTTATCTAACTTTACCAGTATTCATTTTGATATTAGCTATCTTGGCAAACTTTTTAGATTTTGAAAAATGAAAAAAAATTATAATTTCCAAAGAAGCAAATAATTGTTATTCCTCTGTGTCTCACGGATAAAGATGTGACCTTTTTTTTTCTATTGCCTATGGAAAAACTAGCTCCATTGCCACTTTATTTTATAGTAATTTTCAAAGAAAACATGGCAATATTTATATGGCTGTTCTCAGTATCAGCTGTGACTTGGGGAGGAGTGTAGCTTTAAAAACATCTTAGTGCTTGGCTCTCCCTCTAGACTCAAATCTGATTGGTCTGAGGTACAGGCTGGGCATAGAGATTTTAAAGTTGGGTAAGTCTAATGTTGAAAACTACTGATTTTAGGGCAAGGGCACTATAGTGCATGCCTGTAATCCCAGCAGTTTAGGAGGCTGAGGCAGGAGGATCACAAGTTGAAAGCCAGCCTCAGTAACTTAGTAAGGCCTAAGCAACTCAGTGAGATCCTGTCTCTAAATTAAATGTACAAAAAAAGGGCTAGTGGGGCTGGAGTTGTGGCTCAGTGGTAGAGTACTCACCTAGCATACATGAGGCACTGGATTCAATCCTCAGCATCACATAAAAATGAAATAAAGATATTGTTTCCACCTAAAACTAAAAAATAAATATTAAAAAAAAGAGGGCTGGGGATGTGGCTCAGTTATTAAGTACCCCTGGGTTCAATACCTGTACCAACAACAACAACAAGAAAAAAATGGAGAGAAAAAAAAACCACTGTTTTTGATTAATTGACTATTGGATTAACATTTTATAAAAGATAGATAAAATCAATATTCAGTTTAATTTTTTTATAATTTGAATGAAAATATGAAGTATGAAATAAAAATAAAAATTAAACACATATTAACCAAAATGTGTTTATTAAAAGGATATTTTTTAAGCCAAATATAATCTTTACCCCATTTGTACTAATTTCATTAGAATAATACACTTTAGCCAAAGATTATGAGAGTTATGAGCCATGTACACACATGGATTTATCATTAAAAAAATAATGATAAAAATGGAAACTGCACTCCTCCCATGCAATTTCCATATTTGGCATTGAGTCAAAACCACAAAAGGGAGAGAGCTTCTAAAATGTGTTCCATTCTCATTTTGTGAGTTAGCAGCAAAGACTATTAGCTTTAAAAGGCTTAGTGATCCTAAAATTTAACCTTGTGGAAACGAGGGACATCAGAGGTTGGCTGAAGGTCATGTAGCTCAGTGATGCTGAAGCCCAAGTCAACCCTGATTTCTGACTTTGATGCAAGGCTATTCCTACCCCCCTGTCTTTGCCTTTATAAATATTTGGAAAATATAAACTGGGTTGAGATTGGAGTACACAGTTGGAAAATGAAACAAAAGAAATATTTAAATCTTAGACTTTATCTGATAATATATAGAATTATTCAGAAATAGACACTACAATACAAAAGTAGCCTCACTCTACTTTCCTATTTGCTAGATAAGGTTATCTTATTTGATGACTGTTCTGCTGTGCATCACTCCTGCCAGGCTGCGGTATATCAGGTATTAATTGAGAAAAATAAAAAATTGATAAAGTGACTGTTTTTTAGGGTCCAGTTTAGACAAAAATAGGTTATGCTTCAAGAGTCAGGATTCATTGAGATTGCAAATGTTTGATTTGCTTTCCATTATCATAAAAAGCAATATGCAGCTATAAATGCTCAGAAATTGATAAAAATGCAGGAAATTTTGAGGCAAGACCAAATTTTCTTGAAAAGAATGGATAGTTCTTTCATATCCAGGTGAACCATAGATTTGTAGCCTTTATTAGATTTCCCAAGTCATAGAAGACTGACCCTTGGTGGGATGTATGGCACACAGTTGAGATTTATTTCTATATAGTTATACATAATCAAATCTAGCTATGAGGCATTTAAGAAGCATGCTGTTTATCAGAGTACCTTTAGAAATAACACCGTTAAATTTAACCTAACTAAAACTTCCTGATCTGATAAATTCTCTGCATAAGAGGAAGAAAGACCACCTGATATGTTGTCATGGTGTGGATATTCTTTGAATTAAAATGTCATTAGGCAAGTATGTATTTCCATATCAGTTATTTTATCTAAAATCTAAAAGTCCACACAGAAGTTAATTTGAAAGCTTGGGGAGTTGATTAATTGGTTTCTTAACTCGTCATTGATGTCCCAGGTTTCTGCTTTTCCTTGGAACAATGACCCTTATGTTCATAGTTTTGTCAACTACATTTCCCATTTTGGAGACAAGGAACACATAGAAGGTGCTGCTAAATTGCATATGATTAATGAGCCATGGGAGAATTTAAATATTGTTTTTGTTTTGAAAATATTTGGATCAGAATATTTTTCCAAGATGAATTGGAATTTTGTGTTTACAAAAAGAAAAAGATGACAGATAGTTTTAGGGGAAAAATATCTCTTTACTTATTTAATTTAAAGAGTCCTTGGGGGCATTAAAAGGAACATTGGCCTTGGAAATTAAACATTTGGTTTTGAGTCTCGTCTTTATTATAACTAGATATCTCATCTTTAGAAAGTCACTTGGCATCTCTGAAGTCAATCATCTGAGAAATAGGACAATAACCTGAGGCATAGTCATTGTAGGGATGGTAGCAACTTATATGTTGTAATGCATGCTAAAGTTATTTTTACTTTCCATTAGTAAACTCCTTCAATTTTTTTTCTAGTCCAGAAATAACTGTAAGTTCACAATGGAAATGTATTAATAGCTGGGACTCTGCGATCTCAAAATAGTGATATGTGATATATGCCTTTCAGTTTGGACAAGCAACATCTGCTGTATATTGTTTTTTTTTTTTCTTTTAGAAAAAGAAAAAATAACCGCTGTACTTTCAACATCAACTTTGGCAGGTATAGGTTGAGAACTTATCCTAATAAACAGAAATAACTGACAAAATTAACATGATTTTCTCAATTGGTACAATTCAAGTCACTGAAAGATCTGTTTGTATCACTTAGGAAAATCTATTATTTTTAGCACACAAATGTCCAATTCATCCATTCAAAATCGTTCAAGTCATGATTGTGCAATGTTTAAGTATTGGTTTCATTTTGACTTAAAGATCACTTCTTTACCTTTAAGAGTTTATTTTTACAACCTATTTTTCCCCTAAGAGATGACCTCTTGAGCTATCACATTTCAGCATAAAAATATACAAATTCAGTCAATTAAGAATTTTCATTTGTATACCAACTCAAAAGTGAAGGTTGACAAAGAAAATTTTCCTGCTCTCAGTAAACTCTCTTGGATTTTTAAATTCTGGAGTGAATATGAGACTCTCTAATCTCTGGGCAGTGAGTAAAGGTGCACTCAGAGATGGACTAACCTGGCCCATGCTTCTCTGGTTGTTGTCTTTCCAGCAACACCCCTGAGCTCACTCAAGCCCCCACGGGTGGAAGCTGCTCCGGTGGTTGCATCTCCCTATCAAAGAAGAGATTCAGACAGATACTGTGGGCTCTGTGCCGCCTGGTTTAATAACCCTCTGATGGCCCAGCAGCATTATGATGGCAAGAAACACAAAAAGAATGCAGCAAGGGTTGCTTTACTAGAACAACTTGGGACCACCCTGGATATGGGGGAACTAAGAGGTAAGAGCAACTTTTCTAGCTTCTGCCAGAAACCTGGGTTTTCCAAGAAAGGATTGTGTTTTCACAAATTGAGATCATTGTTCTTACTGCTTTAAGAACAATGTAAGGAGAACATGAAGGTCACCCAAAAGAGACAGAAGAAAAAGAAAATGAGCAGCAAACTAGCTTTAGCCCAAACTTTGTAATCTCCTTTGTTTCAGTGTTTCTTTCCATATTTTGATTGACCTTCAGATCAAAGGCACCCATCCACGAGTCAGATTTTTTTTTCCTTCTGCTTTATTCCTAACCCATTTTATCCTGTTGTCCCAGATGAGGAACATCTGTAAAAACTTAATATAAATAGGTGCTATATCATACATTTATAATACTATGAATATAATTATAATATACAGTGATATTATAATCATAATGTAATAGTCATAATATTAATATAATAATATATAAGATCTAGATTATGATTTCCCACCTATTTTAGTATACCTGTGTCAATTTCATTAAAATATGCACAGAATTGAAAACTTAGGATTTAATGGGTTAACTCTGTTCTCTAGTGAATGCTTTTGCCGATGAGCAATGTGAGAGAAGATGCTAAAAAGGCCAAAAAGCATTCTCTTATTTTAAACTTGTATGCTTTTATGAATTC